GAATGAGTCTGAGTGATGTCTGTACTGGTGTACACAGCTGTGACTTTGATTAACAGCCTTTCTAAATATATATCTATCTTCTGAAGGAAGCCTCAGGTAGGAAACTTCAACGGAAGAAAGGAAACCTGGGGGTGCTTTCTTTTGCTGCTGAAAACTTCTGGATCATGTTTGATCGTCCGCTTTAGCAAACTCATCTTTGGGGAACTAAAATACTGCTGATTTAGATGTTTTGTCTTTTTTGGATAGGATTGTACAAACTAAAAGTGGCCTGTGCAAGGAGTGAGTTATTTGCTGTTCTGTTTTAACCATTTCAGGTTACAAAACATGAACACTGTGCTGTGCTTCTAATTTCACATTCATCACATTTTCATGACAGATTCTTGTAGCGAAGCAGCTCTACCCGCAAGTCACACTTCTGTGGTAGAAAGTGGTACTTTTGTAGAGATGGAAACAGGTGGGCAGAGATGAGAACACAGAGGGTTTCTGCCTTGTTTTCTTGCAAATAGGTATCTTTCATTCCTGAACTGCTCCGCTTGAATTTGGGACTGTGTGCAATTAGCATTTTCCATGCTTGGACAGTTTCTAAGGAGTCATAATGTTTTCATGAGGAGTTGTCACCAAAATAAGCCAGGCTAGAAACCAGCAGATCTTTGGCGTGCCCTTGTAATGGGAAAAACATTAAGACTTTCCGGGCTGGTTCTTAGATCTGTTTGCTGAGAAAGCTGAACGGAGTCAAAGCCAGTCTCTAGAGAAATATGTTGGTACTCTAGTGGCAGAGTACCAATATATTTTTGTAGACAAATCTGACATTTTATGGGTAGCACTACCCTCTGGCAATGAAACTGGATTCCTTCATCAGAGTGAGGAAGGAGCCTGCACAGGGCTGTGACCTTTGCGGTTTTTGAAGTTCTAATTTTCTGCTGTTCCGTGTTTGAGTGAGGCCAAACCTTTGAGCAAATGCCATTACTGGAGACACTGTCATCTCATCTTTTCTATCAACATGTTTTTAATGTGTAGCCGGATCCATTTGGGTTTTAAGAGCTCCCTGTTGTGTGTTGCACTGGCAAACCGAGAGACATTGGTGAGTTGCACAGTCTGTAGCAGCTGATTCTCTTAACTTTTTCATTCTTATTTTCTCTGCAGCGATTGCTTGAAGGTGTGGTAAGCAAAATGAAGGCCCCTAAAAAAATCCACTGGATTGATAAAGCAAACCATGGGATGGCAGTCAAAGGACGAACAGCAGATGATGTCATGGAAGAAATAAATACACAAGTTTTTTCTTGGCTTAGAGAGAATATTGAACTGGAACCCAAATGATTTGCAGTGCTTAAGCAGTATCTTCATTTAGCTTTCCCCAAGTGCAGCAAATTAGAGTTTCTTACTTCTGAGAGATGTATTTTTAAAAAACAGATATTCAGAAGTCTAAGTTTAAATGCAAGTAAAACTTTTTTTGTGTGAATGAAAAGAATTATGCAAAACAATAAAACTTTTTAAAGGAAGGACAGAAAATGTACCAAATATTTCATAGCATGGCAGCATTCTTTTCTGTATTTCTGTGCGCATAACTGTATATAACACGTAGTGCTCTGCGTTAGCAAGTGAATGCTTTTGACTGATATTTGACGTAATACACTGGAAAGAATCTATTTTGACAGCAAATCTTTAGATGCGTTTCATTTCTGAGTGTATTACTGATGCTATATGTACTTGTTTGAAATTAACACCTGCTGATTTGTAGAATTCTGTGAGCACAGCCCCTGAGGCTGGCCACCACGGGTTGTACTGCTCTGCCTTGGTGCCGTATGGTGGCATTCCAATGTGCTTCAAAGCCTGTGATGCAGGTAGGGGAATCTCTTGTCATTTACAATGACACTGCCCTAAGGAGCCAAATTTTCAGCCTGTGTGAGGAGGAGGAGGAGGGGCACAGGTATGGGCATGTGGTGATGCAAGCAGGGTTGTGGACCAGGACCAAAGAACATGAGTCACAGTTTGGAAAAGTGACCCTCCAGCAACTTCCCTTGTGTAAAGGACTGGTCACGCAGGCCCTTTGGAGAGACTTATTAAATAAAAACTGATGAAAGATGAATTGTGTTTATAGTGGTGGAAGAACTCCTGGGGGAGGAAGCAGTTCTGCCTCTGGCATGACATGTTGTACAAGGCTTCTGTCAGGAGGGCTCCGAAGAGGCATGTGAGGGGTGTGGGGGGGAGAGTTACAACACTTAGCTGCTCTTTTTTGCAGAATACGCTTGTGAATAGACTCACACGCATGAGTAAAAAGTACCTGCATCTCCAAGGTATCTCAGGACAGTAACACATGACTGATACAAACATGGGGTTTATTTTTAAAAAAAACTACAAAAATGTTTTTGAACAAGGCACCTACTACATGATAAAAAGGAAACAGGAGGTGCTTGTTTTTCTTCCATACATAGATCATGATACAGTAAACTTCATAAAATCCACTGACATTATCCATTGGCATTCGAATCCAAATTTTTCTTTCCTTAAGAAGGCATTCTGAATGTAGGTAAACATTCAAAAAATTATTTTCTTTCTTTCTGTCAGAGTTCATCTTTGGCCTGCAGTCGAGAAAGAAGAAACATTTTTCAGCTAATTGGAAACCCAATTTTTAACTGTCTGGTCTTGCAAATACACAAAGAAACGTTTCTGAGTTCAACAGACGTTAATGCTCTGGTAACCGACACTGTGGGGTGTTGATCAAGGGCTGTTCCAGTTTGGTCGAGGAAGAGCTGAAGACAGCCAGCACTTTACATTTCACAGTGTTTTTACTCTACCTGTTTTCTGTGGCAAGTACATGGAAAAAGGTCATCATCAGGCTGCTGCACCTTCTCCATCCCATCCCTGATTTTTGGCTCGCTCACTTGCAAGCTGGCATATTCCTAGTTTTTTTTTTTTTAAAAAAAAGGAAGGTATTGTTAATTCATAAGCTCGTTAAGATTGTACATGTGGTTGTAAATGCTGCACCAACTCAGCTGAGTAATTAATTCCGTAAAAACTCGGGGGCTACACAATCTGTTACTCCATACTGCGTCACAGAGAGGGTAAGCAGATACCTAACTGTAGGCAGGAGCCCCTTTGGGTGCCTCACTGGAGTTCTGACATCTTGGTGCTAATGCACAGATATTTTCAGCTGTGACTCACAGGGTGTACGTCTGATGTGGAATTCTTGCAGGTCAGATCAAGGTTTACGGGATCCAATGGCTTCTCTCAAACCACCAGCATAGTCTTAAGGGGTTTCATAGGAAATAACTGCCTGCAATGTTGTTTATAAACCAAATGAAGGTCTTAATTGCTGCTGCTTGCTTTGTGGCTGCGAGGACTGGACTGGCCAATTTGCAGCAGCTCCATTGCCCTGAATTCGTTCTGTGGGATTTCTATTTTTGTGATAGTAGCTGTTAAAAAAATACTAACCTGGAAAAGTTTGAAATAGTAACAAAAAACGTGATCTCCCATGAGATTGTTTCTTGCAAATTCTTGTCCAGATTTAGCAATATTTTTTGCCTGTCAAAGAGAAGAAAAGTTTTTGTAAATTCTGAAAAAAATAGTAGTTATTTCAGGATGCCAGCATTGGTTCTAGAGTTAAGTTTACTGTTGACAGTTTTATACTAAACTTACTTATTTTTATTTAAGCATTCTTAATCTTAAAAGTAAGGCATTCTTCTGAAAATACTCTTACTTTTTCCAAAGTTCAATTTAATGTCAAATCAAGGGTAGTATTATCTATTTTTTAAAAAGTGGGGTTTTTTATTTGTAGAGTTGATGACAAGAATTTCTAAGTCCTTCTAATAGATTTCTTTTAAAGAAATGCACGTTTTGCTCTCCGTTGTCTAGAAACATTGCTGAGTACTTCTAAATGGATATTTACCTCCTCATCGTGCTCTTTTGCCCACTGTAGTTTTTCTAGTAGATCACTCAGGTCACTTTTAAATGGAATATAATGTTTCCATGGCTGCAGCTCGTTATAAAAATGCTCATAGTAGATGGAATCTTGCTTTAGCACCACACTGTTTCCTGCTAGTAGATAAGGCAATCTGTACGCTGCCACTGTGCCATCAATATTAATTTGGTATTTATACTGGAAAGAAAATGACCGTAAGTTATTAACAGAAGATCCAAGTAGGTTGGTTAGGTTACATTATTCCGAGGGCATTGGTATTACTGACTTGCCGAAAATTGAGAAATGTAGGATTGGCTAGGCAAGCATCAATGTTTAAGTAGATTTTATTATTTAGTTTGGAATTCATCGCAGTGCAGGGTACACAGAGATGCCCTCTTCATCAGTTAAGTTCTCCGGAAATTCTTAGACGCTCATCCTCGGATGTGAGGGTAGATGTGCCACTTCATCCACTGATTTTCCCACTATGTTAGTTATGTTAGTAGTCCTGATCGCTGAATCAGGAAAAAGAAATAAAAAGGAACTTGGAGTTATATAGATTACACAAGGTTCTACAGAACCTTTAGATGTAAATCAAACATTATTATCCTCAGCGTTAAGAGCTACATGGCAGTTAATCCCACTGGAGGGATGCCTATTCCTGCTTGTTGGTGGTGGTGGTGTGCTGAAAAACTAAAAATCACTTTCTTATCAATAATATATACAAAGTTATTTGATAATGGAAAACACTGAAAATATGTTTCCATATGAAAAATGGTTAGTGGCTTACCTTAAAAAAATCAAAAAATGAAATGTGCTTAACAATGGGGCCATAGAGGCTTTCATCATGTTTAAAAAAAAAGAAGTTTGTGAAAGCAGCATCTATGATCTCTGGGTACTTTCTGCTCAGTTTTACAAGTTCAAGCCTCTCTTTGCGGCTGTCACGTCCTCTCCAGAATGCTGTGGTATTCTTGTCTTCCCATGACGGGCCAGTGTTTGCTTGAACTGACATCATATCCAGACTGACTCTGGAGGAGAAAGAAGTGATTCAATAGTGAAGCCGACTGGAAATCATTTAAAGTGCAATTACTTAAAGGAATTTACAGTACCAGTAGGCAAATACCAAGGACGAAAGTAAGTCACGAGCACACCCGTATATGTATTGTGTCAGTATTTTCACAGTGATAAAAATAGATAAGGAAAACACCACAGTGTGTGTGAAGTAGTTTCTGTCAGATGTCATGGGAAAAAGTGGCTAAAAGTAGATGTGATTGCCAGAAAAATGAAGGTGATCCAGGGTAATGCAACAACTGATAACGATGATGACGCAGTCACGATAGTCCAAAGCAAGGTTTTTATGTAACTTAAGCTTAATAAAACATATTTCACTTCCTTTGCTAAATTAAAACACACAAATTGGGGAGGGCAAAAGGGAGCAAATTTAGGAAAAGTCTTGCTAATAAAGACAGGGAACCTGTCCTGAACGCAGTGAAATGATGAACAGGTTCAAAGTGGGCAACAAAGATCTCCTAGAAGCCGGCTTTGCAGCATTTCGAGACAGCAACAGAGCAGTTACGAGGGCCAGTTATCATCAGTGGGAGATGGCAGGTCCCAGGTTGAGAGTTCTGGCTATGCTGGGCTTTAAAAGGTACAGAAAAAAGCCTCTAGGGAAAAAAACAGACCTGGACAGTTGTAAACATGTTCATGGGTTGGGGGAACAAGGCAGACAAAGAAAATACCTACCCTCGAAACATTCCATCTAAGTGCTGTTTTCAGTGACTTCACCATGTTTAGATTAATTTTAATTTTTTAAATGAAACAGTGAAGTATTTTAATATATGTCATTTATCTTAGCATTAACCAAGACACGTATATTATGCACGATATTGATTACGCAGTTATTGTCTACCTGTTGGGTGCCAATGTCTCAATGAACAAATAACAGTGAAGTATTTTAATATATGTCATTTATTTTAGCATTAACCAAGATATATATATTATGCAAGATATTGATCATGCAGTTATTGCCTACCTGTTGGGTGCCAACGTCTCAATGAACAAATAAAGAGTAAAACAGCATTAATACACTGCCAATACAAGTATCTTTTTGGAAGATCATTCACTGTGCATTTTGTTAAAATTTTAAGCAACTTCTTACCGTCCCATAGTCTCCAAAACTGAATCTGTTAAGTCATATGTCGGCATGACAATGTCTTTTGACTCACTGGACCCACACCACGAGAAGATGGGGTGCAGGTTCTGAGGGGACTTCTTTTTCTCCAGAGGCCAGTCACCCAAATTAACAAAAAACTCTACGTCTGGCATTTTCACCTAAACAGAAGTAGGCACAAACGCATTTTAATACAAAGCAGTATTCTTCTGCTGGCATCTTGCATTTTGAAAACAACCTCACTAAGAGAAAAAACCAGCCAGGTCTCTAATATACTTAGTGTACCTGTAATAAATAGTTAAAAGTTTAGAAACACGCTAGAAGTACTGACACCACAGAGTAAAGCCTACAAGATAATTATTTTTTTTTAAGATTTTGCACAAAGTCACATAAATGCACTCTTTTTTTTTTTTTACCAGGCTAGCACTGGGATCTAGTAAGCAATTGTATAGTTTTAAGGTAAACTGAACCACCTTGTTGACTGCACAGAAAATTGCTGTTGGGTAGCAAATAGGTTTTCTGTGACATTAGTGAACTGGTTTGCCCTCTGTCTGCATGATGACTAAATCCAACAGAAAAGAAGTAACAGAAATGAACAGCCACGATGGGAAGACCACGTTTAGTCGGCAGTGGGGTTAATTACTAAGCGTAACATCCTCAGTTATTTAAAATAATCTGAAATCACCATCGCAGCCAAAAAGCAAGCAAAATACTGTTGATGGACATGAAACACTGTAACATCAGGACAGAGGGCATAATTTTGCTGCTATATGAAACTTTGATGCACCCCCAGGCATCTACTATGCCAGGGACGGACCAGCTGCCTTGTGAAGAGAAACTGAGAACAGTGGGACGCTTCAATTTGCAGAGCAGAAGGCTGAAGGTGACATATGGTTGAGTTTTACAGAACCCTGAAGGCATGTGTAATGTCAGTGCAGAACTGATGTTGTATCTGTTCTTAGGTCATCCTCTCCATTACATTAATATTTTTAAAATATGAATTTCCACTACATGCCGCTCAGTTGCCTCTTTCAGAGCAAAAGAATCCTAGTCCAACTAGCTTGTCTTTGCATGCCCAAACAGCCTCCTTGCTGGGCAGTTCTTTTTAAGAAAGTGAAATGAGAATGGCACCCTTTTCACAACATAGGCGTGTCACAAGTTTTACACTGTGACATAATCTTTTTTCCTTTTGTTTTTGCCTCCCTCCTTGATAAGTCTTAATCGGTTATTTGACTATTACGAAAATCTGAGTGTTATACTGGCATTTTTGGAAAACTGTTGGAATATCTCCAAGATCTCTGTCCTGACTACTAACAAATAATTTAGAGATCATGATTATGTGTCTGTCATTAGGATGTTTTGTTCAAGTGTTATCATCAACTATCTTAATACCTACATGCGGAAGTATCTTTTCTGAAGAAAGAACAATTATGAATGTAATTCTCAAATTAAAATATACATATACATGTAAAAGTAGAGTTTAAACATATTGCTGACTCATCATATATACACATACATGTATATGCATTTTTCCTCTCAAACCCTGTATTCTTCAGATTAGAATGACTGGTCACAGGCTAAGATTTCAGGATTCTTCTGTGGCCCAAATAGGTTTCATTAAGTTTCTAACTGAGTTTATCTTTCTGGACAGAGAAGTTAATAATTTACTAAATATCAAACACCCTCCTAAACGGTTGAAGACATGCTTTTCTAACTTGATACCATGGGAAAATCTTTGGCAGAGACATCCAGAAATTCTGAAGAGAGAGACCCAAAGCAGTACTGCTTGTTTTCAGCATACAGATGGCCAGAACAGGTGTCACCGACAACCTTCATTGCAGAAGTTTGGGTTTGGCTACACATTCTTATCTTCAGCGCTGAACTTTGTTGGTACAGTGCCACCCAATGGTTACAACGCATATAGAAAAGCTACAAAATATATTTTATCTATGTCAATGGCAGAATCATTTGACAGGTTACATCTTCTTCTCCAACTCAATGGATCTATTGTCTTTCAGTGACGCTGCCTTACAGAAATTCCTGCAGTATTTAATGAAGATGAGACAAATTGTGTTTTCTAGATCTGTAAACGGTTTCTGTCCTTGGAGTTAGCAAATCTTTTCCAATATTTAGCCTAAGTATCTTTGATGCAATTTAATTCCATTATTTCTTGTCCAGTACTACTGGCACCGAGAACAGCTCACTCCATCTTCCATAATTAATTAAAGGCCACATTCGTGACTCCCCTTAGACACTGTCAGATCAAACAATGCTCACTTAAATTAAATCTTCGTTTGTATGTCTAGTCATTCTGACCACTTTCCTGTGCAATGTCAGTAACTGAACAATCTTTCTTGAAGCGTGACACCCAAAGGCAGACACAGTAGCATAACTCATCCATTACTAATCCTGAGTACAGTGGAAAGGTTACTTTGCATTTCTTTCATGTGTTTGTTCTGTTAATGTGTGTGTTTAACTTTTCGCAACAGCATGCCACTGCTGACTCGTGTTAAATTTGTGACACTGTGACCTTCACACATATCTGCAGAAAATAACCGCTCACTCCCTGTTTTGAGTAGGTGCCATAACTATATGACTTATCCAGCCTTTGTGTAGTATCCTGCCCTTGTTGCTTTCTTTTATCCATTTTTCCATTTTCTCTTATTTGTTAAGAGAATTTTTAATTATGATGCTGTACCATGAGGTGCTTGCAGGTTCTTTGATTTTTGTTACCTGAAAAGTCAATACGCATATTCTCTAGCCCATCATTCAGTCAAAACACAACTAAGGTATCAAATGGGTCTGAACCTAGGGCAAATCACTGAAGAATACATTTGTGACACCTTTCGCCTCTCTGGAGACATTGGCAACTATTTAAGTAAGGCTTTCCAAGCAGGTTACAGTAGTTTCTTCTTGGTAAAGTTCTCCATCTTGTTCATGAGAACATTGTGAGACTTACCCTCAAAAGCCTAACTAAAATTAAGATACTTGACATTCATACAGGAAGCCTATTATCTTTTTATAGAAAGAAATTATATAGTTATGACTTTATTTTATTTATAGTTATGACATCTGAAGGAGGCCTACAAGAAAGCTGGAGAGGGGCTTTTTAGAAAGGCATGTAGTGATAGGACAAGGGGCAATGGCTTTAAACTGAAAGAGGGCAGATTTAGATTAGATATAAGGAAGACATTTTTTACACTGAGGGTGGTGAGGCACTGGAACAGGTTGCCCAGAGAAGTTGTGGATGCCCCATCCCTGGAAGTGTTCAAGGCCAGGTTGGATGAGGCTTTGAGCAACCTGGTGTAGTGGAGGGTGTCCCTGCCCATGGCAGGGGCGTTGGAACTAGATGATCTTTGAGGTCCCTTCCAACTGAAACCATTCTATGATTCTATTTTTTTATGATAAATCCATGTTGTTTCATATCAATCACCTTATCTTTCAGCTGCTTATAAATAATCTGTTTATTTTTTATTAGATTTTAAAGGATTTTTTTTTTAGGTGAACAACTCCATACTTCAGAAGCTCCTGTCTCTCTTTCATTTTTAAAAGACAAAGTGCTTTGTCTTTTTACAGTCAAAAATAGGTATTAACTCAGAAATCGTCATAATTCTCTTACTACTCTCTTTACATAATAATTACATATTTGTGCGTCCTGAAACTTCAGCCCTGATATATTCTATCACTATGCACATAATGTCAGCTTTTTCCAAAGCTTCCCTAGGAAAGAGCCTGTGTGGTGCTTTTTGCTTGTACATGAAAGGAGTTTCCCCACATGCTACCTGTTGGGCTTTTGGGGCTCTTTCTCAATCCTTCCCATCTTGTTTTTGACATCTGGAATTTAATGGAGAATGATATATGTTCCCTGTTTTTTTCAGTCACCCTGTAAAATGTACTAGCAGAGACAGAATTTTCTATTAGATGCTACAAGATGATTTACTCAATAGAAAAAAAAAACCACGCACATGTTCTGTCCAAATCTATCAATTCTCCTATAAAAGCCTGCTATTCAATTAACATTTGTGATACTCCCTACACTGATCAGATAGCCTTCTAGAACATACCAACTTCAAACAAGGAAATTCCGTCTGATCTTCCCATTACTAATCAAGGAGCAAGAAGGGCTTTTTAACAGAAATAGCAACAAATATGCTGAAGTGTATTTGTTAACCCCAGGCTTCTTTAAATTAGGACATACAGAATAAATGACTGTATAGAAGTACTCACTTTTCTTGTCAAAGAAAGCAGTATGGCATCCATGAAAATTCTGAAGCCAACATGTTCCCCGTACGTCTTTATATAAACCTGAAAGTAAACAAAGGTTTCACTGGGCTGGTGTTTTCTTTTCAGAGAATAGCTGGCACAATTTGGAGCTCTTTTAATCACTTAGTAAGTAACTAGTCACACAGACTCTACGGCTGTACAGATTTTCAAATCAGCTGGGAAGCTTTAGAAACCTCATCTCTCTATCTCATCACAGAAAAGTGGCCACAAAAAGGGACAAACTTTGCTTGTTTTTGCAGACGTTTTAGGTCTGTCTCATGGGAATAGAAACTGGTTGCCTGTTTCTGTTGTGTTCCATTGTTCTCATTTCCATATGAAACTCTACTGAAGTCAGTACAATTTTGTTAAAAAGAATTGTAGCTCTGATCCTCAGTGGAGGTAAAAGTGGTGTTTCTTTACCGTAGAATTATGCACAACGTAATTTATTGATGCATGTCAAATTAGATGATCGTGACACTCCACAGCAATATTGCTCAGAAAACAGGAAACAGAATTATCGTTTAAGAGACTTGGGTCTGTGCCCAGTACTCATATTGATTGCTTGGAAAGTAATTTGCCTTCGCTGTGCTTCAGTTGCTACGTGGACAAAAAGCACTTTACAAAGTAAGACGGATACTACTGAGCTCATATACAAACTGCAAAGTATTCAAGGACAGAGAAGCAAGCAATGGAAGTTTCTTAAAGAACAAACAAGAAACCTTTCAACTGGGAAGAGCTAAGCAGCCTAGTTGTATGACTTGCCACCAAATCCCTGTATGGACTTCAGATCAACCCATTCCATACCTCATTATCTTTGATGGTGTAATGACACAAACTCTGTCTTTGTCCAAACCTCTGCGGAATTTCTTCTGCAATCTTATCTGGATCAACAATTGGAAAATTTGCTAGGTCTCTTTGAATTTGTGGAATGATTTGAGGGCAGTTCATCTCTTCCAGCCATACACTACTCTCCTCCTGAGGGCAGTCACAGTTTTCATGGTAAACAGGTCCTATCAGGAACACAATTATTACTTTATTAAAAATAAGTCACACTATTAAACTGTTGAGATCAGAAAAGAGGGTCAAGCACTAAGCATTCATTGCTTAGGGCCAAATCTTCAGCAACTCTACATGGGCATGTTTGTACTTTTTTTTAAGCCAACGGAGTCATGCGTAGCTACATCAGCTTCTGTGCGAGCCCCCAACCTGTACTGGCTATGCAACAGCTTCAACAGCATTCCATTCTTTTATCCTGGTTTTGGCTGGGACAGAGTCAGGTTTTAGTAGGTAGAATACCTCTGTGTTTTGGATTTAGTGCGGGATTTGTTATGAGAAGAATGTTGATAACACACTGATGTTTATAGTTGGTGCTGATATATCAAAGACCTTTCAGCTTTTGACATCTTGTCAGTGTGCAGGAGCGCAACAGGCTGGCGGGAGCATGGCCAGGACAAAGGGCCCACAACTTCTAGCTTGGAATTACAATTTAGATTTAGGATTGAGGGCCAAATCAGCCAATGGAATATTCTGTATCATGCAATGTCATGCCTAGTATATAGACGAGGGCTGGCCGGGAAGTTTGGGGGCTTTCTCGGTCTCTTTTCAGACTCTCGGAGTTCTGTCTTTCTCTTGCTCTCTTTTTGGGCCTCTCACTCCTCTGGGATTGCAGTGTTGGGACTTACCTGTTTTGAGATCACTCGCCAGGACAGGCATTGGTCATGATGTGGTAAGCAGTTATACTGTGTGCTTCTTTATATGTATTATTATCATACTATATATATACTAATATATTATTATTTTATCATCATTGCTTTTAATTTTATATTATTATTAAATTGTTCTTATCTCAACCCATGAGTCTCCTTCCCTTTTCTCCTTTAATTCTCTTCCTCATTCCCCTGGGGGTGGGGGAGAGTGAGCGAGCAGCTGCATGGTATTTAGTTACCGGCCAGGTTAAACCATGACATCTTTTCCCCTATTTTGAACAGTAAATGCAGGACACTCATAATGAATTCATCATTCCAATGGGATTTGATAGTCCAGAGAAGTACTGAGGTCCCACAGACTCCTACACTAATCCTAGAACACAGTCTAGGACACAACTTGTGAGAAAAAGCCACAATAGGAAATCTGTGTGTAGCGCTGCTTCTTACCTTTTAAAATGTACGGGGACTTTGCGACATGTTTATCTCCAGCTTTGACTTCTATCTTCAGGTTTTTGTAGCTCGCATACATCCTGTATCTCACAAGGAAGGAACCATCTTTCCTGTCTAATACTTGCACACCAACCCGAGTGAACTGTTCGTCAGGAGCAGTGATCCTCACCTGGAATGCATTTTCACCGGGTGATGAAGTGAACCTACCCAGAGAATAAGTGGGAACTTAACAAAAAAAGGAAGCACACAACAGCTTTCTAGTCTGATCAATTCCTTTTCAAGTTGACAGACCTCAAGTGACTTCACCAAGCCACCCTGGGTCTTTATAAGCACATCCTAATGTTCACAAGCGAGGCATGATTTTTCCGAAGAGAATTTTGTTAGGCTGTTTAAAACATCTCATGCTGCCAAAAGCACTAGGTAACGAGAAGGTTCCACTCAGACACTCATGAACACACTTCCAAAATTACTTGGTGCCCTACATGTTGAACAGTATTGGAAATCCAGTCTTTGATTATATGGGAATAGAGCAGGTTTAAAAATCCAGCATAGCTCTTGATTAGTAGTAACTCAAGTGTAAAATGATGAGAAGGTAGAGAGCATGCAGATAAATGGATCTTGCTGGACAGATCCAGCTAGGTATGTCCCTACAGGACAGGACAAGGGACAACAGTTTTAAACTGAGAGTAGATTTAGATTAGATCTACGGAAGAAATTCTTCACTCTGAGGGTGGTGAGGCACTGGAACAGGTTGCCCAGAGAAGCTGTGGATGCCCCATCCAGCCAGGCTGGATGAGGCTTTGAGCAACCTGATCTAGGGGGAGGTGTCCCTGTTCATGGCAGGGGGATTGGACTAGATGACCTTTAAAAGTCTCTTCCAACCCAAACCATTCTATTAAAAGAAACCCCACACCACTAAAACAAGCTTCACTTTAGCAGCTTAATAAGTCTATTATTTTACATACAGAAGCAAAAAGTTTCCAGCTTACTTTATTTTCCAGGTATTATTTAAGGAAGTGAAGAACAAAGCTAAACTTCTTAATCATTACGGTAGCTCATACAAGGGGAAAAAAAAAAAGAGATATTACAAATCCCAGTGTCTTGGTAGGGAAAAAATCTTACAGCGAGATCATGTAATTCCATGAGTACTTATGACATTTTGGTAAAATTCACCATATGCCAATCACAGAAAAATCTCCATAAACCCAAATAAAATAACTTGAAAAATCATGAAGTTATCACATAACATAGAGGTATTAACAAAGTTGGCACGGTCAAAATGCCGCATCTGCCAATTTTCTTCCACCTCTTTAAACATGGTCCCAAATACATAGGGAGAGCTTGGGATAGAGAGGGAGGTGGTAGGAGTGGCTGGACTAACAGATTACAGCCCAGCAGCCTGGTCACCTTTCCTGAAACTTGTCCAGACACACTAGAGAGCTGCCAGTTCAACTAAATTCAGGAAGTATTTACTCTCCACGATAAGCTGAACTGGCAGCTTCCAGATTTGTGTGTGCCACAGCGCATCTGATCTGGACAACCTGGATGAAGCTCTCTGAGCTCCTATCTAGCTTGTACGGTCAGGGTTTCTTTCCTGCAGAAATAGAAAGCCATGAGTGCCCTCTGAAAACCAGGTTTACCTATTCCATTCTTACGAAGTTTACCTAATGGCCTACAGAGTAATTCCTGAATGACTCTACTGATCTCATGCCCATGCATTTAGGAGAAATAATGATGTTCTTAACAGTGGAAACAAGCAGGACACCTGAGCAGGGGTATAATAGATTATATTAGTTACTGTTGAGGTTTTGACAAAGCAGAATAAATCACAAATTGTTGGCTGGACCAATACGTGTGTTTTGCTGTTGAACATTTTCATTGTCTTTTCTCACTTCATCCCCTTATGCAGTTACTGGATACCTCTAAAAAGATCAGTCAGCTTTTCCTAAACGATATACAGAAAGAGTCACGGAGGGAGCCTTCGGCCTTCCCTCTCTACAAGAAAATCCCACGTAAATTTCTGCCTAGAAGGTGGAAGCGGTTC